AAACGTCTCTGGATCATCCTGAATGCGTTTGCATCCAAGAACTCTGAACTCCTTTCATCTCCTTAGCACTCTCTATCAGACTTCCGACATCAGACTCTTCAGCACTCTGGCCAGAACCGGGAAGTTGCCACATTTTAAATGAGTTGACTTCCGGGTCAATTTAGAGCTTTCTGATTCGTGGATGGACCAGAATAGAGGTGTGTTTTGTGACGTAAGATGTTATCAAAAGTCAAGGGCAGAGAATGAGATTGCTTAACAGACAGAAAAGATTATTGGAGAAACACCAGACTTCGTGGAGTCAAACTCCTATTATCTTCTGAAAAAGTTTAAACATGACATTTCTTCTCGGTAAACATTTTAGTTGACCGAGACTCGACCTTTAACATACTTACAAAACTTGCTCATTGAAGACAGAAAATCAAGAAATGCATATTAACCTGATTTCTTCTTTGAATGAGGAATAAAAATCATTACTTACTGTTTATGTAAAATAAAAATGAGTAGTTCTCTTCAACCTGTAAGCATTGAGTGAACTAACACAATTTGATTATCAAACATTTGTAAAATAGTAATGATCATAGAGGATTGTCTTTTCTACTTGATTAATTCAAGAAAGAAAGTCTCCAGATGGCTCAAACTGTATTTCTGGATGCAGATCAATGAAATAACAGTCTCTGTTCATCTGATCAGATTTGAGGTCAGATCAGGTTCACTACACGAGTGGGGTTTAACCTTTACACCAGGAAACACCTCTATGGGCGTCTTAGCATGAGAACATGCCTCAAACACATTCACAGCACACTGTTTAATCTCATTGATGGATTTTTCTCTGAAATTTGCCATCATTTGTACTGACAATTTAATGTCAGTGTGGAGATTTTTGCTGAAAACAAATTTAAAACCTTCTTCTTCCTCCATTCCGGTTTCATTTCTGTAACCAAAATAAGCTTGGAAGATTCTTTTGTAATAAACCTTTGGATGTTCATGCTTCCCTTGCGTGACTTTGTCAGCAGCTGGGAATCCAGCAGGTCCCGTGCAGGGGTCGTATTCCCTGATCAAAGCTTCACACAGAAGGTTGTAATCCCTTCTCGTGGCATCAGGTTGACGCTCGATGAAGGTGAACACCTCTCTGTCCGAAGTGAGCCTTATCAGACTGATTTTATCCTCAACCGTAGCATTAGGATAACCACTCAGTCTGAAATCAAGGTCGTTTTGTGCTTTTGATACGCTTTTGTGCCCGTTGAACCCATTGGACCAGGTACAAAGCGTTGAACATATTTTGAGATTTTTTGCAAATCATCTATTGAAAGAGGAAGTTTCAATGGTCTCTCTTGCCTGTTTGGTAGTGGAAACCTGTTCAGGTCTGTCCCTACCACTTGAGGTAAGGGTGGAGGTGTGTCTCTACACACATGTGGAGGTGGCAGAATGGGATTAAGAGCAGGAGGTGCACCAAAATCCTTCTGAGGTGATGCGGGTGACCTGGACTCTGACCTTGGTCATCTTTGAGTTCCAGACAAGCTCGCCTCACGTCAGAAATCTTATTTGTTGCTGCGGCTAGTTTCTCCTCACAGGCTTTTATCGCTTACAGAATCGCTTACAGAAAAAATACAAGGATTCGGACAGCACGTCTTTTCTAAAAGCATATTCAGGTTGTGTCAAATGGCAGCAAACAACTTTATGATGCAGCACTGACACCTGATGGTAGAGTGTGGATCAGGACAAAATAAACCCCCACTACCACCACCACCAAAATAAAACATGACTGACACTTAGGGCTGAACAATTTTGGAAAATATTCTAATTGTGATTTTTTTACTTCAGTATTGTGATTTAATATGCAATTATTTTTCAATGTCTTCTTTGCTCAAGTTATTTCCGTGTGCCATTTCGAATTATATTCATACAGAGTAATACTTTCAAACAGTTCAGTCAGTGATCCCTGTCGACTGGTACATTGTCCACTTTAAATTGAAGCACTACTCGTTGGCGTTCTAGCCATGTAACCCTCGTAAATGGTTTTGTGGTGTTTTACTAAGTGTTGATAAATTCAATTCAAAATTCAATTCAATTCAAAAATACTTTATTAATTCCAGAGGGAAATTAAATGCTGTTGTAACTCATCATCCTGGTTTCATTAAAGAGTTGTTATAGATGCTGATGGCTGTGGGCAGGAAGGATCTCTTGTAGCGGTCTGTCCTACAACGAATCTGAAGAAGCCTCTGACTGAAGACACTCTGTTGTTGTATGACAGTCTGATGAAGAGGATGCTGAGGGTTGTCTATAATGTTCTTCATTTTATGAAGAATCCGTCTTTGTACAATCATCTCCAAAGGTTCTAGGAGTCCCCAGAACTGAGCCAGCCTTCTTTATGAGCTTGTTGATCTTTTTTAAATCACTTGCTCTGGTGCTGCTATCCCAGCAGATGATGGCAGAAGAGATAGCGCTCTACAACAGACATATAGAAGATATGCAGCATCTTGCTGAAAACACTGAAGGACTTCAACTTCCTCAAGAAGTACAGCCTGCTCTGTCCCTTCTTGTAGACGGCTTCACTGTTGCATTTCCAGTCCAGTCTGTTGTCCAAGTGAACTCCAAGGTATTTATACTTATCCACCACCTCCACTTCTTCTCCCATGATGGAAATAGGGTTGGACCTGTTCCCGTTTCTCCTAAAATCTACAATCATCTCCTTTGTTTTGTTCACATTCAAGATGAGATGATTGTTTCCACACCATGCCACAAAGCGGTCCACCAGTTCCCTGTACTCAACTTCTTGTCCATCTCTGATACACCCGACAGACAGAACCGAACAGCCATCTGAATATTTCTGCAGATGACAGGAGTCTGTTTTGTACTGGAAATCTGAGGTGTACAGAGTGAAAAGGAATGGTGAGAGTACAGTCTCCTGTGATGCTCCTGAGCTACTGACCACCTGGTTAGACACACAACACTTCAGTCTCACAAACTGTGGTCTATTTGTCAGGTAGTCTTTGATCCAGGTGATTGTTGAGGCCTCCACCTGAATCTTTTGAAGTTTCTGACAAAGCAAATCAGGCTGGATTGTGTTAAATGCACTAGAGAAATCAAAGAACATGGCTCTCACAGTGAAGCAGCACAGTGGCGCAACTCGTAGAGCTGCTGCCTCTCAACGAGCAGGTCCTTGGTTCAAACCCTGGTCCAGGGGCCTTCTGGGTGGAGTTTGCATGTTCTCTCTGTGCGTGCGTGGGCTTTCTCCGGGTACTCCGGTTTCCTCCCACAGACCAAAAACATGCATGTTAGGCTGATTGGTAACTCTAAATTGTCCCTAGATATGAGTGAGAGAGTGAATGGTTGTTAGTCTCGTTTGTCTCTATGTGGCCCTGTGATGGACTTGCGACCCGTCCAGGGTGTACCCCGCCCCTCACACAGCGATTGCTGGACATGGGCACCAGCGACCCCCGTGACCCAAAATGGAATAAGCGGGTAAAGCTAATGGATGGATGGATGGGCTCTCACAGTGCTGTCTGCCTTTTCTAGATGACAGTGAGTTTGCTGAAGCAGGTGTATGATGGTATCTTCAACTCCAAGCCCACGCCGATATGCAAATTGTGGGTCCTGATATGTGCTTGCAGGTGGGTCAACAGATGTCTCTCTAGGACCTTCACGATGTGGGATGTCAGGGCAACAGGTCTATAGTCATTGAGGACTGATGGGTGAGTTTTTTTGGTACTGGAACAAGGCAGGATGTTTTCCACAACACTGGAACCTTCTCCTGGGTCAGGCTAAGGTTGAAGAGGTTCTGTAGAACCTCACAGAGCTGCTCTGCACAGACCTCTTTTGTGACTTGCGGTGTTACCTCGAGAGGTAGCAACAGCAGCAAGGCAGTTTCTGCACAAGACATGTCGTTGTGCAGCGTCTTCTTTTTTATACCCAAAATAATTCAAACAACGAATGTGCTGCCCCTCTTTGGTACCAAACTTTCAGCTCAAACTTTCAGCTGTTTTAGCTCCTGTCGAGCCTGACGCCATTGTTAAACTGGTTAAAGTGCAGTGTTGACTTCTCCTACTCCCTACTTTGCTCTGCTCACTCGCAAGTCATGTAACCAGATCATGTGACCAGTCAAATTGCAGCCTTTGCATATAAATGCAGAAACAAGTACACACACACAGTATCAGACCAACACACGTATGGGTGCATCCCTACCTACAACAGAGCATAGTGGTGGCAGCATCGTGCTGTGTATTTTGTCAACAGGAAATGGGAAACAGGTCAGCGTTGAAGGCAATATGGATGAAGCAAAATATAGAGTAATTGTTGAGAGAAACTTGTTTTCTCTTAAAGTCTTCCAGAGATTTAGGAGCGGGACAGAGGTCCACCTTCCAGCTGATCAGACCCTGAACACACTGAATACTCCAGTGGTGTAAAGAAAACCACTTACATGCGCTGGAGTAGCTCAAGTCAAAGACAAAACAGACTGAGAATCTCTGGTCTGATGAGACTGGACACAAACAGCCGTCCAGCAGGGAGGAGCTGCACCAGTTTTGGATCAAACCTACAGAATTCAAATGTGTGAAGCTCGTGAAGACGAGCCTGGAGACTTGCAGCCGTAACTGCTGCCAAAGGTGACTCTACAAATGGATGACGTTAGGGGGGTGACTATTGCATGCTCAGGTTTTCTGATTTTGTGTTCTTGTTCACTTCACAGTTAAAAAAAACATATTTAGCATCTTCAAAGTATGAGATTTCAAATTCAATTCAAAAATACTTTATTAATCCCAGAGGGAAATTATTTGTTGTTGTAACTCGTTATCCTCATTTCATTAAGAGATGTTATAGATACTGATGGCTGTAGACAGGAAGGATCTCTTGTAAAAGGTCCATCCCACAGTGGATCCTAAGAAACTGGCTGCAGATGCCGTCCGATCCGTCCACCCAGACTCGGCTGGCGTCTCGGTTCCCTCGAGCTGTAGGACCCCTCAAATGCCGGGCAGAACTCCTCCCAGTGCGATGGCCACTCCTCCCAGCAGTCTGCCGAGCTCCTCGTCGCTGCGGACAGCCAACTGTAGGTGCTGAGGGATGATCCTGTCCTTCCGCTGTCATGAGCCGTGTTTCCTGCTAGTTCCAGGATCTCAGTGGTCAGGCACTCGAGCACAGCTGGCAGGTAGATGAGAATGCATCCACAGAACATCCTTTTCAACTCATTTGAGATTTGGGACTGTAGTTGAGATATTATTTGAGCTTTTGAGATGTTAATCAGCTGCTGTTGGTTGTAGAAAACTGCCTTGTTGCCATGGTTATGCATCATAACAAATGTCTAAAACTAAAAAAGTTTCAGTAAAAATCCTTCCAGCTGCACAGCATCTGATACCAGAAGAAACCACCATCCAAAAAAATGTGATTTACATCCAGAAAAAGAGGAACCAAAGTTTCCAAAAGCAAAACCTCAAAATGAAAGTAACAGAGCTGCTCCAACATGCAGCCACCTTGAGCGGCACAATTGCAATTTGTTGTGTAAATTAAATTCACACAGTTCAACAGAAAGGACGCCGCAGTGGGTGAACCAGCTCACTGATGTGAGTGTTAGAGCTTGAGTCTTGGATGGGAAACAGAATTTAAGTGCTCACCTTTGCAAGCGTTGACCACGGTGTTCAGGGCATCTTCACAGCTCCTGGACTTTTTCAGGCCCTCCACGGTGCTGGTCAGAGGAATCATGCCCAAACCGTTCAATGGTGTGTCAAGAACAGCTGACATGAGTTCACTCTACAAACATACAGGAAGGACGCACAAAAGCCATGAATGAGCTCTTAAAATGGTCGCAGTTTTAACTAACTGATGGACGGCACGTTCAAACACTGAGAAGAAGCTCTTAAGAAGATGAAACCTGTTTATTAAACAGCAGTCAGCTTACCCCCGTGGGGCTGAACAATCCGCTGAGATTAGTAAAACTTGACAGAAAGCGAGTCAGGGACGTCTCCATGGGCTCCAGCAGGACGATGGATGATGTTGAGGTTATCTTTTTGAGCAATTTCTTCCGAGATGCTGCAATAAAAAACAGTTTAAATGGTTAGATGACAACCAGTAACAAGGGGACAGTGATGAGTCTTGTGTTCACATTCTCAAAATGGAAAACAGAAGAGCACGATGGTTTAATTCTTGAGTTTTACATGTTGCGACATCATTTGATCCTATCAGGTCTTAAAATTACTGTATTTTCTGGACTATACGTTGCTCCAGAGTATAGGTTGCATCAATCAAAAAATGCTTCATGAAGAGGGAAAAAAAACACAAGTTGCTTTGGAGTATAAGTCACATTTATTTAGACGTGTATTTCACAAAGTGCAAGAACAGACATTTAATCTGGAATAACAATAAAACACACACCTGGGATCCTGAACAGGCTTAATTAACAGAACATGCCAATGAGTGCGACAAACAAGTTGCTGGTTGACCAATCTCATTCCACATCACTTTTGGGGGCATTTTACTTTTGTTAAATTTTTCTCAGTTGACTAAGTGAATGTTTTTGTTTAAATTGTGTGTGTGTGTGTGTGTGGGGGGGGTGTTAGTGGTAGAGGAACAACCTATAGTTGTCAAAAGCCTAGAGGTGTCTGCAAATGGTGATGTTTACACTTTGGTTCATGTCTGTATGAATGAACTTTTAAGTCGCTTTGGACTATACGTCACAGGACTGACCAAACTATGAAAATAGGTGCGACTTATAGTCCGGAAAACACGGTAGGTCATTACAACTTTGGATGAACTGCAACATGCTGGTCCAAAACTAAAAGTCTGACTAGGCCTGTCGCGATAAACAATAAATCAATTAATCGCATGATAAATGAAAATTATCAACCTCATTTTCATTTATTGGCTTTATCGTTTCTTCATCTTTCTCTTTCTGTAAGCACTGGATGATAAAAGGCTCAACTCCAGTGCTCTTCACTGACCCCTCCCTTTCCCTTTTCTCTTTAAAATCCATTGCAACGATCCACGTTTTTGGATCATTAAAAGCAGCTAAACTGAGAAGCTAAGCTACGAGCTAAGCTAATAGGCCGACCTCAGGAAAAAAATGCTTTCTTGTTGAAGCTCAAAATTCACGGTTGAAACCCATGCCTTCGTGTAAAAAAAATTTTTTCTCTGCAAAAAGAAGCTGAGAACTTGTTTACTGATTTTTTTTTATCAAAAGCTTTGTGTGAAAAATGCTATGCTAAAGAGCTCAAACCACACCGAGCGTCCGCCATTTTGAGAACCGAAAAACAGGAATGAGAGACAGCCCATGTCTTGTCAAGGGGCCTCCCTCCCATTTTTCTTAGAGACACGCAGCTCGCTCCCTCACTATCCAACTTCCAGTTCAAACTGTCTTATACTGCCATCTAGTGGTCAAAAAGGTACTACACACAAAACTAATTAACCAACATTTCTTCTTAAATTGAACAATTACTATTGTCAAATTTCAAACAATATTATCGTTTAACATAATAATTTCTGAGACAATCCAGCAAAATTTGTTATCCTGACAGGCCTAAATCTGACAAAAAGACAGAGCTGCAGCCATTTAGGTCAAAACGTGTAAACATTATGTGCAAGCTCATGCAAGTTGTCACCAGATGTGTTAGCTCTTGAATGATGTTTTGGGATGACTCTCTGATACTACCACTGAATCTTAGCTCAATATCTGTAGAACTGACCAAGTTAGAACCATTTTTGTGTTTTGTAAATTGGCTGTGGTGACCATCTTGAATTGCTTTAATTCCAAAAGCTAATTTAACTATAGCAGTACAGCTACTCCCTGAAAGTTTCATTGTGTTTATCGGTTCATGAGATATTTTACTAACAGACAGGTGAACGTGCACACACAGAGAGAAAAACCTGTAAATGAAAGACTAAATCCACACATTGATTTAAGACCTTGTAGAGCGACATTTAGTATCTTTTAGAAACTGTCGCGTGTGACTGAATCAGTGACTTCTGTTGTTGAGGAGGAATTCTAACCCTCAGGTTCAATGAGGTTCATTAGTCCGGTTTCACCTGAGCTTCATCTGAGACAGAAGGCTTCATATTTAACTCTAGGACTAGGTTGGTTCCAAATATGTCTATCTTTATATCAAAAGTGCACTCCAGTAGCAACGATCACAGACGTGGACGCGGCTGCCAAGATGGGTATAATGCAGGTCCAGGCAGGTACAAAATAATGTGCATGGCATTGAGTACCGTTCTGCAAGTTGTGCACAAAAATAAGCTGCCATTTTATAACGTGGCCAGGCAAAACTTGGAGAGGTGGAGGTATGAACTTGAAAGAAGAGGAATGAAAGTTAGCCGTAGTGAGACAGAGTACATGTGTGTGAATGAGAGGGAGGCCGGTGGAACAGTGAGGTTACATGGAGCAGAGGTCACAAAGATGCAGGACTTCAACGACTTGGTGTCCACTGTCCAGGAAACTGGAGTGTGGTAAAGAGATGAAGAAGAGAGGCCAGACTGAAATGGTTTGGACATGTCCAAAGGAGGGACAGTGGTCTGGACATGTCCGGAAGAGGGACAGTGGGATTGTAGAAGGATGTTAGAAATGCAGCTGCCAGAAAGATAACAAAGAGGAGATATATGGATGCAGTTGGAGAAGACACGGAGGCAGTGGTTCATTTGAGCCGGATCCTGCCAAAACAATATCCGGGAACTCTCTCATTTTGACCCGTTTTGTTCTGGCAACTCTTTCTTCAGATTAGTCAACTCCACCCCTAAAAGTTCAAAGTCATTGCGCATTTTTATTTTGATTATTTATTTTAAAATGCAATGAGAGGAGACATTGCCCTCAGCCCAGCGGACCCAGTCTGTGGATACTCCAGCCACAGCACGCGCGGCGCACCATGCAGCTACACACTCCTTCGAGGAGCAGGAGAGGAGCCTCTAGGCGGGGTGGGGGGGGGGGGGGTGACAGATCAGATAGTCACATTTACGCACAGAGGTGCTGCGCGGAGTCCTTGTCTCCTCCTCCTCTCCAAATATTGTCCCTCCTCAGTGGGGCCGCGCACTGAAAAACACCCCCTCTCCTCCTCTCAGACCCCCGAAACAGAAACGATCATTTATTCAACAGAATAAATAAATTCCCTGTGGACAGTGCACGTTACGCACAGAAACGTCTCCAATATTCATTCATTCATTCAACCTTTATTTAAACAGATAAATCACAATGCGCCTCGAAGACTCATTTACAAGTGAGACCTGTTTGGACAGACAAAAAACAGTGGTTAACTGGACACATGTAGGAATTGGAGGCGAAAAAAATTCCCATCAGACTTTTTTCTTGGCTGAGAAAAACCCCTAATATTGAATAAACACTTCGCACAAACAAGCACATATTTACGTAGACATTCTGCAGAGCAGAGCAGGAAGAAGGAATTGACGAGACCAGTCAACAACGCCTACAGATGCTCTCGAGGTCACTGTAATCAGTCAATGTCCTCCGGTGAGATCCATAAACATTCTCAAGGTATGTCGAGAAATGGCCATGGATAACCTCTATAAGAATCCAGAGTCCTGAAATGATGACAAAGTTTTTTCAGCGGGGTTTCATCTGGTTAGCAGTTGGAAATTCCTCGGGGGGGGGGGGGGGGTAGCGTCAGATCACATTTTCTCTAGGCGACTTTAGATAAGATGGCCTTCAAGGACAACCAAGGCGACCAAAATTTAGATAAACACACAGCTGTTTTGGGGACAGGCAGAACTTAATGACATCAACCTTGAGTCTGTGTCGGTCCACTCGGTTCCGAAATGTCCAAATTAACATGGCCAACACCGATGGAAATGTGTCTGAGTAAAAATCCCCAAGATCTGATCCATTCAGCCCAAAGCATTTGAGTCCAAGTACTCCAGACATGAACCAAGCCATCATAAAGGCAAGCAGCGTGATCGGGTCCAAATTTGCTGCTGACGACTTCCTTGATTGTACAGGTCCTTCTCAAAAAATTAGCATATTGTGATAAAGGTCATTATTTTCCATAATGTAATGATAAAAATTAAACTTTCATATATTTCAGATTCATTGCACACCAACTGAAATATTTCAGGTCATTAATTGTTTTAATACTGATGATTATGGCATACAGCTCATGAAAACCCAAAATGCCTGTCCCAAAAAATTAGCATATCATGAAAAGGTTGTCTAAACAAGCTATTAACCTAACCATCTGAATCAACAACGTAACTCTAAACACCTGCAAAAGATTCCTGAGGCTTTTAAAAACTCCCAGCCTTGTTCATTACTCAAAACCGCAATCATGCGTAAGACTGCCGACCTGACTGCTGTCCAGAAGGCCATCATTGACACCCTCAAGCAAGAGGGTAAGACACAGAAAGAAATTGTTGAACGAATAGGCTGTTCCCAGAGTGCTGTATCAAGGCACCTCAGTGGGAAGTCTGTGGGAAGGGAAAAGGGTGGCAGGAAACGCTACACAACGAGAAGAGGTGACCGGACCCTGAGGAGGATTGTGGAGAAGGGCCGATTCCAGACCTTGGGGGACCTGCGGAAACAGTGGACTGAGTCTGGAGTAGAAACATCCAGAGCCACCGTGCACAGGTGTGTGCAGGAAATGGGCTACAGGTGCCACATTCCCCAGGTCAAGCCACTTTTGAACAAGAGACTGCGTCAGAAGCATCTCGCCTGGGACTGTTGCTGAGTGGTCCAAAGTTATGTTCTCTGATTACAGTAAATTTTGCATTTCCTTTGGAAATCAAGGTCCCAGAGTCTGGAGGAAGAGATGAGACATAGAATTCACATTGCTTGAGGTCCAGTGTCAAGTTTCCACAGTCACTGGGGTGTCATGTCATCTGCTGGTGTTGGTCCACTGTGTGTAATCAAGCGCAGGGTCAATGCAGCTAGCTATCAGGAGATTTTGGAGCACTTCATGCTTCCATCTGCTGAAAAGCTTTATGGAGATGAAGATTTCATTTTTCAGCACGACCTGGCACCTGCTCACAGTGCCAAAACCACTGGTAAATGGTTTACTCACCATGGTATTACTGTGCTCAGTTGGCCTGCCAACTCTCCTGGCCTGAACCCCATAGAGAACCTGTGGGATATTGTGAAGAGAAAGTTGAGAGATGCAAGACCCAACACTCTGGATGAGCTTAAGGCCGCTATCGAAGCATCCTGGGCCTCCATAACACCTCAGCAGTGCCACAGGCTGATTGCCTCCATGCCACGCCGCATTGAAGCAGTCATTCATGCAAAAGGATTCCCGACCAAGTATTGAGTGCATAACTGAACATGATTATTTGAAGGTTGGCGTTTTTTGTATTAAAAACACTTGTCTTTCATTGGTGGGATGAAATATGCTAATTTTTTGGGACAGGCATTTTGGGTTTTCATGAGCTGTATGCCATAATCATCAGTATTAAAACAATTAAAGACCTGAAATATTTCAGTTGGTGTGCAATGAATCTGAAATATATGAAAGTTTCATTTTTATCATTACATTATGGAAAATAATGATCTTTATCACAATATGCTAATTTTTTGAGAAGGACCTGTAGATAAAACCAGCACCAGCTGAATCCAAAAAGCAGGAACCAGTTATCGAAAATCCAATTAAATATGCATCCTTAAAATCCACAGATGGCAGCAGAGATAGACACATCATCAAGTTTTCCAGTCGATGAGATATCCAGCTGCGTACGTGCCAACAGGGTAAATCGGCTCACCCAAAGCCTGTCTTCTCTTTGAAGAAATGTTGTAAATTGAGATGAGGGACCAACTGGTCAAAACAAGTCCATAATTATGGTTCGGAAAAAATGCAAGAGAGTCTCACAGCAATTTCACAGACAGACAGAGCAGCAAAGCAAAGCGGAGAGGGAGGGAGAGAAGCATCCGATCTCGTGGGGAGCGAGTGGTGAAGTGTATAATATACCTAGTGCGCGCACACATCAGCAGGTGTCTGAACTCCTGCTACATTTCAGACATAATAAATTAAAAAAAAGCTTACTGTAAAAAATAAATTAAAAATACAAAGAGATAAATGTTTGATGTGTTATTCACATTATAGCCTACGTCACGTTTTAAAACAACGGCGCTAATTTGTCCAAATAACAACTGCGATCAAAATGTCAAAGAGACAGTCCACTTTACTTTAATAAAAAATGAATGGATGGATTGAATGATTGATTGTCCTTAGTTGGACAACAATTGAAGCCTTCAGGTGCTTCAAACGGTGCCACAAGACTGGAGCAGGAGCGGAGAAGAGTTCAGCTCAGAACCATGAAGTGAGGGGAGGGAGGAGGGGGGTTTAGGACACCTGACAGAGTCGGTGCTGCTGCACACAACCTGCTGTTCCTCTCCAAAATAGTAATTGTATTAAGTGTTTACAAATGTAGGTAAATGTTGATGTATAACAATCCGTTAAAATACACCAAAATGCAGGAAATGGCATCTCTGTTATTCATAATTTTCTGTGAGAGGACATACGGACCCCCGCCGTTCCCCTCATGCTGTTCCGGCATCAATCAGTTTACAAATTAAGCCCTGCATGGAGGTAGTTGGAGTGAGGACAGAGGATGGAGAGGACAGAGTGACATGGAGGAGGATGACTCGCTGTGGAGACCCCTGAAGAGGGAAACGCTGAAAGACGAAGGTCGTGCAAAATGTAGCTCGTTGGTTGCAAGCGCTCAGAATTTAAACTGCAACAGAAATTTTGCCTTTTTTTAATCCTAATTTTAATACTCCATGTAGTCACAGCCCAGTGAGGTACAACTTTTACCAAACTGAAGGGCAGCAACAGGCGTACTAAAAAACAAGTATAAAAATAAAGAGTACCAGGTGGAAGATGCTCTTGAAGGACGCGTGAGGCATCTGTTCTGTCATCTCTGTCGTAATGAGAGGTTTCCATGGCTCTAATGGTGAGTGGACAGTGAGAAGCTGGAGAGAAGAGCGGGTATGATTTCTGGCCCTCTTCAATGGTAAAGCCCATGACTTCGACCCGACCGTACAGACAGGTCAAAATGCACTTCCCCCGAAAACACAGAGTCTGCAAGAAAACAACGATCCAGTCATGGAAAATATTGCAGCTTTATCTTTTCAGTGGACAGCTTACCTGATCTTTCTGCAGAACCAGCACTGCGTGGTTTTGTCGATCATCTCTTTGTGCACAGTGATTTAGAGCCTCTCCCTCGACTCTGCCCCCCAGAACATCCTGCATTTCTCCCAAAGTCTCCACATCATTTCTCCGAATTGACTGGGAATACTCCTTCCAGTCCTGGAGGTCCTCTCCAGGACTGCAAGGAGTATTCATGGTAAACGTTGAGCCTCCATTAGTGTGAGAGTACGATTTCTTGCTTTCAGACTCTGAGGCGATTGCTTTGGGCTCAACGACAGCTTTTGCTTTATGTTTCAACCTCTTGGCAGAGGGCCTTTTCTTCACAGACACTTGGTGCTCCTGTACCACCTGGACCAGGGCAGGACTGGAATTGAGGTCTGAGGACTTGATGGGAGCTCTGCACCGTCTGCTCCTCACATCTTTCCATTTATGAGACCTTCCTTTGACCTGCGTGAGCTTGTTCACCTTCATGATGCTGTAACTCGGGAGCACAGACCTGCAAAGTAACAAAACAGGGAGTCTGGGGAGGGAGGGAGAGAGCAGGTAAAAAACAGGCTCATTAACAATTGACGAACACATTTGTTTAAATATAAAGCTGTGTAGTTAAATTGAACGATAAGACCTTTCCCAGCTGTGTTGATGTGAGACGTAGAATAACATCTTAATGTCTAAATAAAGGCTGAATGAATGAAAACAACTTCATGTAGTTATGGCTAACGTGTGTAGCCTTTGCGAAAACTAGCATTAGCTAATAAGCTACAGTAAAAATAAAACTTACCTCCCGCTTGAGTAAAACAAACTCAGCGCTGTAGTTAGCACCCTTTGGCTTTACTAGCTAAATAACGCATATAATTCATACATTTGAGCTAAAGGAAAGAACTGGACTTGCAATGTTGAAGGCGTGCTATCAGGCTGCTAGCGTGATTGAGACACACTAAAGGTCTGCGGTTAGATTGGATCAATCGGAAATGTGTAGAAGATCGTTGTGTCATATATTTATATGTACCATACTTTTATATCACTGTGCCATTGCCATTTTAACGAATTTAAATTGATGTTAACCCATATAAAATAATCTAAACGTATAAGAGTTGTTTATTGGATGTCAAGTATTGGGAATGTCGTTCGTCCTATTCACAAACACTTCACATAGCTCAAATCCAATTCTTCCTAAAACATGACATCCTTTTTTTCAGTTATGTGTATACTGGAATATTAGTTCCAGATAGGAACAAGAACTTATAAAAATAAATAAAATAGAAACGATCATTCTCTAAATGTCCATGAATTCATATTAAATGATAAATTGGCTTGCCCTAACACAAGCGATGGTTGTTAGGGGCCAGTAGTGGTTGTCCCTCCGACTGATCCAATGTAACGCTCTTGGTTCTTCGCGTTGGTGAACTGTAACATTTTCATGAGTGTTTCTGATGAAAATTAATAAATAAAAGCGTTCTAATGCACCGTTACGTTACAAAAAATAAATAATAAAATGTAGACACAATAAATACTTTGTGAGTTTTTATGTCGTTATTGGGAGGATGGACAACAAAATCCTTTCCCGGAGTTTGACGTAACCTGCGTCACACCCTTCTTCTTAGTTTTTCTTTGGCGGTTGGCATTCAAGATTTTGAAGCATTACCGCCATCTGCTGTTTTAGTTTGTCAACTGGAATGTCGCTCAAAAAATAAAATAAAATAAAAAATAAATAAATTATATCCGTAAGAATAAATAACGCTCATATTCTCTCGAACAACTGAGTCCTTTTCAGGTATTTCAACAAGATGTTGGTACTTGCAGAACTTGAATTCTCTTGTAGCAGCACTACAGGGTCAAATCTGACGTTTATTGCATTGAGTCTTTGAATCATTTGTCTTCTTTCATGATGGTAGTTTTGGCAGATCATTAGCACATGTTGTATGGTCTCATCTTCCCCACAATGGTCACATTTTCCCGTGTTATGTTTCCCTATGATGAATGATGTCCTGTTCAATCCTGTGTGTCCAAATCTGAGTCTTGAGACAACAGCTGATACAGTCCACCTTAGTTCAAAAGATTTATTGGACAACAGATTACAAGTATTCAGAGTTCATAAAATCAACAAATCTGTATGCATACAGGAGCACCTACCAAAACCGACCTGATCTGACGCTTCTCCAGCAAATGCTGCCCGTATTTTTCTGGTGGCTGTGTTTTATACACTTCGGGCTCTCTGATTGGTTTAACCGAAAGGTTGCCATGGTTACTCTGCTCTGGCCGGGGACTTGGCACATTCTTTAGATAAGATAGGGCACTATTATGACTTGCGTGAAAATCGGCTCTTTGTTTTAGCCGTTTCAGTGTAACCTACTTATACCTTAGTGCTAAAGTTAGTTTCTTTCTAGGAATAATTAATAACTAACTCATCTCTGTGTGGTTTGAACTGTCCCCCTCATCAACTGATGATTTTATATGACTTACTAATTGTTATTATGATACTAATTCTATTTAGTCAAACTGTCTTAGTCTAGGTTAGAGAGAGAGAGAGATGTGGTCTAATTTATTTTATGTTAGTCTCTCAGTTCTGGCTAACTGTCCTTAGTGAGAAGGCAGCCTTTCCTCTTGTGTAATTAAAAAGTATCTTACCTGACATTGGGCCCGGTGTGATTCGCTTGTAATTATATCAAAATGTAAATTACTAACATTGTGAACTTATGTGATTTTCTTAGCTAATGTGAGATTATATATCTATAAGCAAACTAATTGATTAACATTCTGATTAACATTTAAATGATTGTAAGGTAGTGAAAGAATGACACATAAACACATTTTAATACATGAAATTTCAAGCTTGATTAAAATAATACTAAAAGATAAAACATGAAATCCAACAACCATCGACCTTTTCTTTCTTCTTCCCATTGCTTTTGCCATTTTTCCCTTATTTGCTTTGTGATGCTTTTTATTTCTGCCCGACTGAATTTTACCTCTATTTCCACTGAGTTGTTTTTGGTGGCCTCCTTTGCAATTTTATCTGCCATTTCATTTCCTCTTATCCCTATGTGAGCTGGAATCCATAAAAATGTAACCGTTAACCCCATCATATTAATTTTGAATAATGTTTGCTGTATTTCTGTCAATATGTCTGGTCTGCTTTCTGAACAACTGTTTTTTATACTTATTATGATGAACTGGAATCTGAGCATATGACTGATCTGAGTGGTTGATTGTCTTCTATCCATTGAACTGCCAGTAGTATTGCGACCATTTCTCCGGTGTATACTGATAATTTGTTCTTTAATCTCTTCCCTACTTTAACTCCAAACTCTGGTACAATAAATGCTGCCCCTATTTACCCTGCTGTATTTTTTGAAGCGTCTATATATTTTTACATATCCATAATATTTATTGATGTGTTCGATAACT